ATTTCGATTATTTAGGAGGCTGGCTTCTGACGTTGTTTGTCAGGGCCAACTCAGGCTGAGAGGGATACAACATACCGGCAGACAGATTGAGATACATCACTCGATTAAAATATTTCCCACGTGGGAATCGAACGTGGGTCTCCTGCGTGCGACGTGGGAACATCTAACCATTACACCACGGACACAGGCGGTGTAGAGTTCAAATATCCGTGCGATATACAGGGTGGTCTGTTTAAATTAGTACTATAACTACTACAAAGAAGTTTACGGCACTCGCAACATAAAAACGATAAGTAAGGTTAAGTGCCGAAGATTAGCTCTTTGTCGTCGTATCCGATACACACGTCCGATCAGCAGTAGACCAGAGTCAATAAATCTGCACATATTCAACCATTATACTTGTACACAAATCAGAAACATACATTTGCATATTTTATATACATGTAGTGCATATTGTTCCCTGCCTTTTTAAGTTTCAGATATAATGTAGAAATATTTGCACGAATTTATAAGGAAGTTATGCTTTTTCGTTTTTTAAGTACCCAAAACAGCAAGTCTTCAAATTCAAACGTGCAGAACGCGTGTCCTCAATGAGTTAGAGGTGTTACAATTACAAGAGAGTAACAAACACGAAAGAAGGAGGGGAGATGAGGGCTATAGATGTTTGTGATAGGAAAGAAGAAGCAGCAAACCACACCAGAGCACCCGCCAACGACCCACGAGGGTGGCCTACCACATTAGGGGGGCCTAATACCAGTAGCAAAAATACACACCGTCATACTCATACTTGTGCCAGTGACATTAGAGTTTTTAGTTTAGCTTTTTTTTTTACGGCACTTGCAAAATAATAAGGTCATACAAGTACAAGTGCCGAAGGTCAGAGGTGTTACAAGAGAGTAACAAACACGAAAAAGAAGGAGTAATCACTCAGGACGATAAATGTTTTGATAGGAAAAAAAGAAGCAAACCACACCAGAGCTCCTAGACATTAGAATTAAAACGCCTCACGAGGCACAGCTGAGGACAATTTACTTTTACAAATTAATCAGAGCACCTGATTGAGAGGACACATTCCAGTCAGGTAGGACAAGAAGAAGAATTCAGTTCCCTCTCAGAATTGAACCCGAAATGCCCTGTGACAGACCTAGAGTGGAACTACTGTAAGGGACCGCTCACAAATATCACGTCAGCGTAAATTTGGCCAAAAATGCCACCCCCTCCCCCTTTGTCATCTGTTCAGGAGGCATGCTTCTGCCTTTATCTAATACAATGTATTATGTACATGTTACACTTTGGTTGACGTCAGCTAGTTGGAGGGGTGAGGAGGGTCTCCTGAACAGATATATGTGTATATATATATATATATATATATAAAACAATAACAGTAACAAGTGTCAAAATTTGACACTGACAACAAGATGTCTTCTAGGCATGGGGCATGCCACAGGACGTAGAAACACATCTTTTTTTTTAAAGTAAGAGTTTTACAGCATTTGCAACACAATAAGGTCGTATAAGTGCCGAAGATTAGAGGTGTTACGAGAGAGTAACAAGCACAAAAAACAAGGAGGAGAGATCAGGACGATAGATGTTTGATAGGAAAGAAGGAGCAAACCACACCAGAGCACCCGCCAACCACCCACGCCCCCGTGTCGGTTTTACCACTGCAAACAGACTCAGAGGTCACATAATGAAGGATGATGTAGCAGGTTCCTTTTGAATTGCAAAAGATATTCTATTTGGGGTTTTCTATACCTACATGTATAGCAAGACGAGCAAATTATACTTGAAAACTTGGCCCTATTGATACATGTATTATAAATAGGTGAACGGACACTGGACACAGCACAGGTAGGCTACACGACACACTGAGCGACACAGCACAGGTACACGACTACATTGAGAGACACAACACAGCTACACACTGAGCAACACAGCACAGGTAGCCTACACGACTACATTGAGAGACACAACACAGCTACACACAGAGCGACACGGCACAGGTACACGACTACATTGAGAGACACAACACAGCTACACACTGAGCAACACAGCACAGGTAGCCTACACGACTACATTGAGAGACACAACACAGCTACACACAGAGCGACACGGCACAGGTACACGACTACATTGAGAGACACAACACAGCTACACACTGAGCAACACAGCACAGGTACACGAACACACTGAGCGACACAGCACAGGTAAAGGTATACGACCTAGACGGTCATATAATCAGGCCACCTGCGCGCTACTGACCTAGATTCCTTGTGGGCTGACACACCCGTGTAGTAGGCCCACAACCTTGTAGATCATTAGTAGTGATAAGCCTACGCAGGGTGCGGCGGTCAGTTTGAATTGTTGTTTGCTCATGCTTTGACATTGGATTATTTCTGCATAATGCAGTTTGCTTTTCAAGTCATCTGGATTATGTGAATATTTTCTACATCATTGTGTGTGTTGGGGAACAGAAGTGGTGACTAATTAATTAATTAATTAAGATTGACCAACAGTTTTGAGATCGCAAATTTGAAGTGCTGTTTGGCTGCACTGTAGGCCTACTGTTCATTTTCAGATTCTTTATCGCCATCGTACTCAGTGAATGCCTGGATTCTTTTAGTTGAGGCCTAATGCAGTTTTTTTTTTCCAAATCATCTGGATTGTGTGAATATCAAATATCTCTTCCATCAGTGTACGTGTTTAGATTAAACCTACAGTGAAGTTTTGACCGTGCAAGTTTAATTCATATCTGTCTAAAATCCATGTCTACACAGTGGAGGCCCCCCTCCTGATCCGCACACTCTTCACTGACTTAGAGCCTCTCTATGCAAACAACCACTAAAAACTAACTCTCCATCCTATCCCTAGATCTACTTTTAGATTTAGATTAGTTTGTAACACAAACAATAGGATAGGCTAAAAGGACCATGCAGATATAAATCTATATATTTAGACTCTGAGCGTCTAGGGGCCCACCCCTGTTAGGTAGGGAAAAGTATACGGATCATAATTATGGGGGAGCTCCTTTGTGTTTTTCCCGGCCTGCTTTGTATATTAATATCTGCTGTTCTTTCACAGTGCTTACATGCTTCTCTTCTAGGCCTATTTCTTGCTTTCATCATGTGTGGTTATGACTCTGTTGGACTGTGACTGACACCTTCAAAATAAACTGAAGGAATAAGAACAACAATGGGAAGAAAATGCTCAGTTGGTGGATGCAAAACTGGCTATGACAGTCAGAAAGGTGCAGAAAAAGTGACCGTGTATGGATTTCCTACGGATGAAACAGAATGTCGGGCATGGATTGCTAGCTTACCAAACATTTTATCCTATGAAAAGGTGTCAATATCAAAAAACATATCAGTGTGTGCCCTCCACTTCCGTAAAACTCCTCAACTCAAGTCAACTTTCTGTCTTTCCATCGTTTTTGTCTGTCTAGAATAATGTTTTACATGTCCGTTAGTTTAAACACAAACACAGGGAAGCTAAACCATTGAGAGAGAGAGAGAGAGAGAGAGAGAGAGAGAGAGAGAGAGAGAGAGAGAGAGAGAGAGAAAGAGGTGGGGGGAGAGAGAGAGGGGGGGGGGGAGATAGAGAGGGAGAGAGAGAGAGAGAGAGAGAGAGAGAGAGAGAGATTGAGAGGGAGAGAGATTGAGAGAGAGAGAGAGAGAGAGAGAGAGAGAGAGAGAGAGAGAGAGAGAGAGAGAGAGAGAGAGAGAGAGAGGTTGAGAGGGAGAGAGAGAGGAGGGAAAGATTGAGAGGGAGAGAGAGAGAGAGAGAGAGAGAGAGAGAGAGAGAGAGAGAGAGAGAGAGAGAGAGAGAGAGAGAGAGAGAGAGAGAGAGAAGGGTAGAGGGAGAAAGAGACCGCCTAGCCGTGGCCGTTGTAATCATTATCATTACGAAGGCCACTGCTTGCTGTGGGTCGAAGCCTGAGCGGCCGGTGTGCCAGCCCACAAGCAAGGTGTGTAGTTCTTGGGCTGCGCTGACTGATTTATGATCGCCTAGTATACGACTACATTGAGAGACACAAGTGAAAGGGGACGCAACAAGGAAATATCAAAATAGGGTTCAAATGCAGTAGCGCCCCTTTAACATTTTGTGAATGACTTACTTGTGTTGAGAATTTCTTTAAATTTTTTTTAATATCTCGATTTCAAGTAGCGTGCATAAAAACACACGGTACCGATATACAATAAAGCTACACAGTTAAGGGTATATAAATTTAAGCTTAACTGAAGCCACATGAGTACACTTGAATGTCACTTCTATGGTTTGTCCCTTATTCCTAACACTAACACTGCAAGAAAAGCAAAAATGATGAATGCCCAGCCCGGAGTCAGGAGAAGTAAACTGTTGTATTGGGCAGTTCTAACTTTTCAGGGCGACTATAATTTTTTTCCCCAGGTAAGTGTATTACGGCCCTTGCAACTGGATAAGGTCATGAGAGTGTGCGGGGCACACCTAACATTTTCAGTTGGTAGGAAATTTTGAATTTTGCGCGGGTGGCGGCTGAAGCCTACTCTTGTCCATTTTGGACAACCAAGGGTTCTTTAATGAGCGCAACTTGCACACAGGACCTCCGAGACTTTTCGCCCTTGTCTGAGAAGGCCAGGCGTAGATCTTTCCTACCAAAAGACCATGGGTGTGGCTGAAAGACAGCAGTAAGGAGCCAAGGAGAAGCAGTACAAAGGCTGCAGAAAGAGTCAGGAGCCCAAAGGAGGGGGCAAAGCAGGTGAGGGGGTGGGGGCAGAAAGTGGAGACGAAAGCAGACAAGAGAACATAGCTACAGAGCAGGAAAGGAGGGGAAAGGAGATGATTTAAAGAAGAAAATGTTTCCGTCACTACCCAGATTCGAAACCGGGACCTTTGAATAAGAGGCAAACACCTTAACCTCTAGGCCATGAGAACCCCCGGCGACTATGCTAAGGAAACTGAGAGCAGTATAAATAAAAAACAATTAAAATTGACAGACTTACAAACAACTCAAAACAGTCAGGAAGTGGATAATCTAATTATTTTTATTTCATTCATTAAATAAGTTCCTAGACATAGCACTATGCCTTCTAGAATCCATGTTAGAAGTTATCTGTTCAGTGAAGAGAGATAAGCTGTACATAATCCGATCTGCACTTTTAAGATAGTGTACACTTTTCACAGATAATAATGTTGGCCATGGCATCATTATTGTAAGCGTAACTTATGCTGTTGTTGATGTCAAAACAAGCACAATCCAATATTCTGTATCTAAGACACAAAATATAAGACCCCAGCCACGGTACATCCAGGTGGAAAAAGTCAAAACAGCAGGTAGTCCGTGACTCGATCAGAAGTAACTGTGCTCATTCTTCTTTATAAAGTACTCATTTTCAAACAAACGAAACGACAGTGAAAAAACCCCCCCCAACAATAATCATAAAAAGCGCTTGTCCTTCATCTGCATGGCTGCCACGAGTACAATACATCTCCATACTTTTTTGGTTCTGGAAAAAAAAAAGAGAAAAAGAGAAGAGAAATTATAGTTTAGTTTTAGTAAGAGTATTACAGCACTTGCAACACAATAAGGTCATATAAGTGCCAAAGATTAGAAGTAAGTGTTACAAGAGAGTAACAAACACAAAAAAGGAGGGGAGAAAAATACGATAGATGTTTGATAGGAAAGAAGAAGAAAACCACACCAGAGCACCCGCCAACCACCCACATTATTTTATATTTACAAATTATATATACAAGATATTAAAGCATGATCATCATATGTAGGTAGGCTGGCTCCTAGTTTTTAGTTTTAGTAGAGGTTTTACGGCGCTCGCAACTGCACAAGTCAAATGAGCGCCAGAAGATTAGAGGTGTTACAAGAGAGTAACAAACATAAAAAAGGAGGAGAGATAAGGACGATAGGCGTTTGACAGTAAAGAAGAGGCAAACCACACCAGAGCACCCGCCAACCACTCCTCAAGCTTTGTCTATAACAAAATATAAATGTGTGTCATGATATAGTGGAATCAAGCGCTCGTCAGTAAATAAATTGGTAGGCCTACACCTTGTTAATTTGCTTTGCTCTTGATAACAGATCTCCCCCCCCCCCAATCTATCTTGAATAGAAGTCGAGATATTTGCCATTGAATGTGGTAGAATTAGCAAGAAAATGACCGCCAAGGTATGGCGACTTCCATGGTTGAGTGTAATTGGAAACAGATTTACATTTTATTCAAGTGTCTTTGACCGTGACCAAGTTTTCAGTAGAATCCACAATGAAATATGTGTTTTTAATCCAATTACTGGCAAGTGCTGATGAGATCAGCACTTTCTTTGCCACCAGACAGTCATTGCTCTGATGACATCTGCAGTTTCTGAAAACGGTCTACTTGAACTTGAACCCAGAAAATACCCATTCTGAATAAAAGTGCACTAATTTTAAAAAGAAGGGCCTCCTGTAGTTATTAGAAATGTTTTAGTTTTAGTGCCAGAGGAACAAGAAAGATCGTCCTTTACTCCGTTTTTTTTATCTTAGAACAGTTGGCGGCCTCACTCTGCAAGTCAGTGAAAATGGCTTATCATTGTCACTATCATTGTCCTCAGTAGTTTCCGAAAACGGTTTTAACGAATCATGGAAACACTAATTCTAAAAAGAAGGACCCGTTTTAGTTAGTAGAACTCATTTTGAGCCAGAGGAAAACAAAATAGCATCCGCTATTTATCTTAGAACTGCTGGTGGCTGCAACTCTGCAAGTCAGTGAAAAAGGCTACTTTGGCAGTTTCTGCGGTTTCTAGCAGATTATAGGGGTCACATGACCTTGCAGAAAGGTCGAAATCGTACATTTTTTCAGCGTAAGTTACAGCTTTTACAAAGAGCTTTCCACTTGTCTGTGTATCACATGAGTTCATTTATTACATCTAAAGGTGCACCCTTGTTCCTAAGACTTTCCCTTGATACAGTGCAAGTTTATCACAGCACTGACAGCAACAGGGCTAAATGGACAAAAAGTGTTTAGAACAAAAGAAAAATGTGATGAAAATTGCCAAACAGTCTGAAAAAAGGCCAACTTCTGCTATTTCATTTTTTTTACTTGCGCCTGATTTCACCACAACATCACACAAATTATATTTGTAATAAACCACATGGTGCATTCGTCTTCACAAATATTGGTTTTTTGTTTGAATGAAGAGAAGCACATTGATCCAATAACGATCAGTTAGTGCAGGGTATCATTTGGGGCCAGGAGGAATAAGGAAGACAGATAGCAGATGGATTGAAAAAGCAGAGGGAAGGACTGAAAAGAGATCTTTAAGTAGGACCTCCAACCACCCAATTTCACACATCATGTAGAAAAACATAAAAATTGGGAGTTCTGTACACACATGTTATGTCCATTACCCCATACAGTGTGAGAGATGAAAGTATGCCCTTTAAAACCGCCTATGCCACCCCCGAGGTCAACGTCAGATCAGGAGGAGGGAGGGGAGGAGGAGGGGAGCGGGAGGAGGAGGGAGGGGTGTAGTCACCTGACTCGCTCTAAGGCATTCACGCGCGGTTAGGTTTGTTCATCTGTCTAAAAGCTTTGGCAGCACAGCCCGGGTCACCCCCCCCCCACACCACCCAACACCCCACCTTTTGTAACAGGGCACCTGAGAATGAAGTATGATCAAGGAGGTTCTAGATACAGTATTAGATATCATTATACAGAAAGGTCTTTGACTATGATGAATAGTCTCTTTGACCCTCGGCTCTCGTCTCTACAACATTCTGGTTCAGCGTTGGATTTAGTTAGAGTTTAACGGCACTTGATTGCAACACACATATATGTTAAAGAAGTGCCATAGATTAGATGTGCTGCTACTAGAGAATAAAATAACAGTAGAAAGAAAAGACGAAGCAGAGATGTTTAGTTTTCTTTTATTTTAGTGGAGGTTTTACGCGCTCGCAATTGCATAAGGTCATATGAGCGCAAAGGGGTGGGTGTCAACAGAGAAGTCCAAACGAATAATCAGGCTTACTCTAC